GAGACGGGGTGGTATTGGAAATATGGTCTAAGCTTTCGTGAAGCTACGACTAAGGCCAGAGCTAGTTTTTAGAGGTAAGGGTATCTCGTCTCGGCATCGACTAGTGTTTTGCTGATGTAGTAGATGGGAGACTACGTACCTTTATTTTCTTGGACCAGGACTGCGCTCACAGCTATTTCGGATACGACGAGGTAGATGAGGAGACGTTCCCCGGCTCTGGTTTTGAAAGTAAGGGGTGCGATGACAAATATGCTTTTAGTTCTTTCAGGTCTTGGACGCACTCAGAAGTCCATTGGAGGCCGTTATCCTTCTTGAGTACACCGAAGAAGCTGTGACACCTATCTGATGATCGTGAAATGAATCTTGAAAGGGCGGCGATACGGCCAGTTAACCTCTGAACCTATTTTTTGGTGTTCAGGTGTTCTGTTATCCCTTCGATGGATCTGATTTGATCACGGTTGACCTCGATCCCTCGCTGCGACACCAGGAAACCTAGAAATTTTCCCGAGGCCACACCGAATGCACACTTTTCGAGATTCAGATTCATTCTGTACCGCCTAAGTATGTCAAAGGTTTCTCTTAGGTGGTCGATGTGATCTTCTTTCTTTTATACTTGACCAGCATGTTGTCTATATAGACTTCCATCATTTTGCTAAGTTGGTCTTTGAACATCCTCGCTATTAACCTTTGGTAAGTTGCCCCTGCGTTTTTCAACCCGAAGGGCATGACCCAATAGCAGTACTTCCCTTGGTAGGTGATGAAGTGGTTTTCTCCTGATCCTCTTCTTCCATGAGGATCTGATTATAGCCCGAGTAGGCATCCAAAAAACTCAGTAGTTCATGCCCGGCCATTGCGTCGATGAGTTGGTCGATATGGGGTAATGGAAATGAATCCTTGGGACATGCTTTGTTCAAATCTGTGAAATCTATGCACATCCGCCATTTCCCATTCTTCTTTTTCACCATGACCACGTTGGTGATCCATTTGGGGTATTTTGACTCCCTGACGGAGCCATTTTCCAATAGTTTTTCCACCTCTTCGCGTACTACATCATTAATTATGGAGTTGAACTTACGCCTAACCGGCCTCACCGGTGCGTGGAATGGATCGATGTTCTGTTTGTGCGTGGAAATTTCCTTTGGGATACCTGGCATATCTGCATGGCTAAAAGCAAACAAGTCCGCGTAAGCAGTTAAGAACCGACGAAACCTACCCAGTTCCTGAAGTTTGCAGCCGATGTAAGCTTTCTCGCTGAGGTCATTGCTATCTAATTGAACGGGGTCGAGGTCTTCTATGGTCGATCCCGCAGCTTCAACCGTATTGGGGATTCTGATGACGTCCTCGCTATCACCATATTTCGACCTCGACCTTGTTTATTGCTATGCCTCTTTTTCTTTGTCCTTCGTTTGTTAAGTGACCGTGCAGTCTAGGGAGATGCCGTAGCATTCCCGGGATGTGCGTTGTTCCCCTCGTATACTGAATATTCCCTATAGAGTTGGAAATTTGATGACTTGGTAAGGGCTGGAAGGGATGGCTCACATGGTGTGTATCCATGGTCGTCCTATTATGCCGTTGTACGCGTGTCTTGGTCCATGATATGAAACGTGGTTTCTAGAGTGACGCCACCAGCCAGGATGGGGAGTGTGATTTCGCCAAATGTTCGCTCAACTGCATTGTTAAAACCTGTTAGTGTGATGCAACGGTGGCACTATCTTATCTTTGAGTTTCATTTGTGCAATTACTCGGGGGTGGATAATACACGCGCTGCTCCCATAGTCTACCATAATGCATCTCACACCGGTATCTAAAATTCGTAAAGTGATAACAAGGGCTTCATAGTGAGGGAAAGCCAAACCGTCGGTATCTGACTTATCGAAGATGATACTCTCTTCGAGTTCATCATACCATTCGTGGGTGATTGACCACTTGCGCTTGTGGTTTGTGGTGAACTTCACAATGTTGATGGAAGCATCGTCCCCACCGCCGATGATCATGTGGACGGTGCGGGTTGGCGAGGGAGGTTTCAGCGGTCCTTGATGTTGTTCGCGTCCTCTGGCAAAGTTGGTCCTTCCCTGGTTGCTCAGCAACTCTCTGAGTTGTCTCTGTCATAGCATGTTTACGACCTCTTGTATTACGGCGATGCAATCCTCGATTTTGTGTCCTTGCTCTTGGTAGAACTCTCAAAGGGCGTTCGATTTTTTGGTACTCTGGTCTGACCTCATCTTTTGTGGCCACTTCACCTTTGGTCCAACCTTCTCCAAGGCATTGACTATTTCTGTAGGTGACACACAAAAATTGTGGGCGGATAATAAAGGGGGCATACCTCTCCCGTTCCGGTGAGTCCCTCTCTTTGATCTGGGTGGGCCCTCTTTGTGGCGGGAGGAGGACGTAATGGCGGTTCTGACATATGGTAGATGTCGTTCCCTGTTGGTTCGCGGAGCTGCGAGGTCCCTTCTGATATCATTTCTTCGATCTATTCTGGATTCGGCTTGTGCCAAGGTCAATCGATGAGTCGGCTCATTGAGGTCGTCCTCGTCTACTCGGACCTCGACATAATATGCGTTTTGTATTTCATACCATGTAGTTGGGGGGTACTTCATAAGCCGACTTAATAACTTTCTCGTTGCCCTTGAACCATTTATGCTCTGCCCGTTCCGAAAAGCTGTGACCGCCATCCCTTCCGATACATTCGGCAAGGTCATTCTTACTCGGTTGAACTGGGCGAGGAAGTCCCTCAAACCCTCTCCCGGAGACTGTTTAATAGCAAATATGTCATTTACTCTTGCCTCAGCCTTCTTGGCCCCAGCATGGGCCGTTACGAACTTGTCGTCCATTTCTTCGAAAGTTTCAATGGAACGTGCAGGCGGTTATGAATACAATGTTAACGCTCCTCCGGTGAGGCTCTCGCCAAATTTTTTTTAACAAAATGGAGGATACTTTTTCCTTGGCGAGATCATTGCCTTTCACGGCGGTGACATAATGAGTCACATGGTCTTCGGGGTCGGTTGTGCCACCATATATTTTCAGATAGGGCAGCATTTTAAAGGTCTTTGGTATGGCATGTGGGGCGGCGTCATCACTATACGGTTGCTCGACGAACCGACCGGCATCTCTCTTCGGAAGAGCTTAGGGGCGTCGGGTTCTTATCGACCCTTTCTTGGTGTTCTCTAATTTGGTCTAGAAGTGCTTTGTTCTCATTCTCCATTTCCTCCATCCTTTTCAGGATGGCTGCGAGAATGTCGTCACCTGCACTATTAACGACATTGTGAGTAATACCTGCCGCTGGAGGAGGAGGAGGAAATTGGTCATGCTGCTCGTCCGCTGATTGTATAACGCAAGTCCTTGCATTTTTTTTAGCCGTGTCCCGAGCGGGCTTATTGAGGACGTTGGTCAGCGTGTTAGTTAGCCAAGCCTCAAGGAGATTTTTTACTGTTGGTGGCGTCTCTTCCACCACGGACGTGGAGGCTCCCTTACCAAGAGATTTTGTGATGCTAGAGTGGGGAGGAGGTGACCCACCTCGCCTGGGGAAGGCTTTGGGCGTTGCGTCCTCGTCCACTGCTTCAGAGCTCTCATTGATGGCGCTCATGAGGTTGGTTGGGAGGTCACTCGTTATTCTCGTCCTTTCTTCTTTGTTATCTGCCATATTAGATCTGTGCATACAAAGAAAGGAGATCTTGTTCTTGCTTTCTTTCTCTCTTTTACGTTAGCGATCTGTGTCAGTTATAGAGCTAGAGGAAACTAAAAATTTAACTAAGAAATTCTCACAGACGACGCCAAATTGTTTGACCAAAAAGTGTAACTTTAAGTTAAACGATTATATTTATGTAGTGATGGATTAAACCTAGTTAAATATAATATCTCTAGATGAAGGCTCCGAAAATGCGGCTAACGTTAGATTGATCTAATGGGGTGTTGACAATAGCATTCATTAAATATTCCAAAAGGTATGAGCAATGATGGAGAAATAACTAGCAATAAATAACAATAAATGACATTTAAGTAAATGGGAGAAGTGGTTCACCCAATAAAGGATAAACTAGATGATTGTTCCTCCTGACAATGATGAGTGATAAATAAATCCTAGAACATTCGAAATATTCTCGGATCTGGTGGAAAGGTGTGGAATAATATGAATAAGAATCTTGATAAAAAGGTAGTGTTTGTATCTTTACAAGAGAGAGAATATTTATCGGAAGTCTGTTCTTATCAAGTGAATATCAGATGCCCCTATTCATTATCTTTTTTCCTATTTATATGGAACATACCCCCAACAAGCCCTAATAGTACAAGTATAGATAATATCCGATGGAATATTCTCTTTATGTCGTATTCTAAAAAATTGGCTGTTACAGCTCTTTCGATGGTGCTCGACCTCGACCATTGTTGGTATCTTGACCACGAGTCTCGCTGCTTCCTGATCGACCTCGACTTACTCTTTCCTCGAACTTGCCCTAAATATTCTGAGACAGATTTCGACCTATACAATATGTATACACTTTTAAGGTTTTTAGGAGGAAATTAGCCTTCGTGGCCATTTACAATGCTGAAATTAAGAAAGTATTCTTTTTCGATCTCTTATGTTTAAAAGTAAATTTTCCAGTGTAAAAAAGATGATAAGATCATAAGACTAGAAACAAGTTTGTAAGACCCACAAAACTATTTGATCCCGATTTTTAGCCAATAGCATGGGTGCACGTGTACTGCAATATAACACATGGATCCCCCACTCTCTAAAAACGCAGTAGTGGAGGGTTCAAATTCCATTAATATGAGCTGAGCTTTCATGGTTATTTACAATGTTGAAATTTATAAGAAAGTGTCCTTTTAATATCTCTCACGAGTAAAGGATAAATTTTTTATGTGTGAAAGTAAATCTCTCACGTCATGTATTAAAAAAAAAAGACAGGGTTATGAAAATAAAAACAAGTTTGTAAAGACCTACAAAACCATTTAACCCGACGCACCACATAACTCATACGTACAACAATAATTAAGCCCAATAAAGCTAAAGAACAGTAGATCAATAAGCTCATAAGCACTAGTGCTGGTCTTCTCGAAATAAGTATACAAGTTACAGAGGGAAAATACAAAAAATAAGGAGATCTAGCTCCAAATTAAATCCGACAGGCATGAAGATTAATCTTTCACATGATAGTGCATGCATGTGGGTTGTCATCACTGAAAAGAGAAGCAACAGCTTCATCTGAAGCCACGGCAACTGAGTAAACTGCAGGAGTGTGAAAGAAAGTATGAACACTTGGGGCTGCAACATTTCGAGATGTGTCGTAGTAATGGCTGATGATGTGATTTGGGTACTGATAAAATGAAGTAAAATGTGAGTACCCTACTGGATATGGCCATGGCTCTGCTGCTTTCCCTGCTCGCTTTATTGCCTTTAGCACCTTCTTCTCTTCTAATCCGTAGCCTCTAACTGTAACTTTCTGTGTCTCCATATCAATGTCTATATCGTCTACTCCTGAAATTTCATCTCAAGAAATAAGAAAACTATGGATGATGGTGTTTGTGTAAAAGCTTAGCTTACGCGTATCATGTCTATTTCGCTGGATACTTATTTACTCCGACCAACACAAATGTTGGATAACTCTGCCCATGAAAGCTTAAGCAAACCGGAAGAAATAATCACCTAGTGTCTTTATATGTTTCTAATATGACTTGTTCAAATGTATTCGAACATAAAGTCAATTATATGGGAAATATCTCATAGGCATGTGATATGTCCTATCCTGTCATGTTTTCATTTGAAACTACAATGCTAATTGAACTTGACATAATTGTTCCATCCCCGTTTGCTTGACATATTGCAGTTTTGTGTTGTGTATTATGATTTGTTATTCTTTGGTTGTTGCGACGTTTTTCAGTCTTTCTCCTTGACCACATCTCTATGTCAAAAAGTGCAACTATATATGTTTGGCTATACTAAGGGAGGCCTGAATCACTAAGACTGTAGCTTATCTGGAACTCCAAACATTCAAAACAAGATTAAAGGTGCAGCTAAATGGTTGCAATTTCTCTGTACATTCTTTGATGTCAGTTCAAATCTCACCAAAGGTTTTTTCTTTGCTTGTTTAAGGTCTCTCTTGTTCCAAAAGTATGAAATAACAATAGAAAAAAGAAAGAAAAAATCCAAAATAAATTCACGTAAAAAGTCCAAAGAACAGGGGTCAAGGGTCAACTTACTCTTCAGTCAACACTATCTATTCCATTATAGCAATTTTTATTTTTGTTCCTAATAAATAATTCTACTGATCGTTTATAACAGTTAGAAAGTAGAACATTTGCTTTGGGATATCAACATTATTATTCTTTTGTTAATTCGTATAGAACCAACTTAATCTTATCCATATAAAACATTTAATTTCACATTCATGGTTGAAGAAATTCTCATTTTTTTCTTATTAGTATGCCTAGTACTACTGCTTTTCTTCCACTTCTACGGAGGACACTTCAATAGTCCTTACCGCTCAATTTTACTATTTTGTTGGGTGTACAAACAAACTAAAATTCACTAAAAAGATTAGGAGTCTACGTATAAGGTGTAATGATCTCGTCTTTCGGAAAAAAAGATGCGAGTTTAGCCCAAAACAAGACAATATCAAGTACCTATGAGTTAGTTTAGCCAACACTCTGTTCCATTAATATAGATATAGAAAGAGAAGTCGCCATTGTGACTGACCTTTGAGCTTGAAAAGGGCTTTTCTAAGCTTGTTAGCACATCCTTCACAATCCAAGTTTGGAACTCTTATCTCCACCATCTGCGACATAATAAAATACACATCCACATTTTCACATTCTCATTCCATTATTCCAAAATCTTAGTTATAGACAGAACAGAGAAAGAGAGACTTACAGACATGTTGATGGAACAAAGTTGTTTAGTTCAAGAGAGGCAGCTCTCGTCTTCAATACGAAGTAGCTAGACCTTAATTATGGTCAGTCAACGGAACTCTGGTTCACCTTAAATTTATTTCAAGTACTAGGTTCTGATGAAAGAGGTAGCTATCCCCTTTTTATATTTATATGTAAAGAGATTTATAATTGTTACAAGTCACCTAACACTAAGGTTGTATTTATGAAGCCAGAGCTTCGACAGAAGTACTAATTACTGCTCCCTTCCTCATAGCATAGCATTGCTGAATGTTTGCATTGGGTTTTGAAATTTGAGAGATTTCACGCGTGGACTGTGTTGGCGTGATGATCACCTTTTCCCCCACCACCACCCCTATGTCCCAACACACACTATTCACAGTAAGATCTGAATCTCCTTCAGCTTTATTTTCTATTAAAAGTTATCGAGACAGATACTATTTCATGTTGTCAATTAAGTTGACATCTGGACCACCTCTAGCAACTGCCAAAATTGTTATTGCATGCTTCAATGCAATTCTTTTACTGAATTGCCAAGTAATTCTTTCCTGTTTAGCCGCGGATCTAATTTTTGGAAGCATTAAGTTTCTCTTTCAACCACTAGCTAGTGCTACACTTAATATTTTAAGGTTTTAATTCTGTATATACGTACGAAAATTAAGTAAAAATACAAATTAACATATCAACTCGATTTGTAACACAGCCTATGCTCAATAATTTGAGCGATGAGGTAAGAACTGCCAGATTATCAGCCTTTCAAAGTCGGGATCAGCAGATTAACTGTGTGAAAGTGAAATTCATACTAAGATATATGGACTGTATATATGATGAGAATATTCTTAAAAAAAGGCTGCAAGAAAATGACATAAAGAAGAAAGAGATTTTCCGCAAAAAAAATCACAGTCTTTCTGCATCTTTTACTATTATAGTGAATCATTTTCATCTGGCCCTTTTAGTACCATGACAAAGGCGAGGATGCTCATAATGTGTAAGCTCGGTGGCTGCCAATAGTATATCAAGCACAATTAAATATGTACTGATGTTTTTTCGTGGCCATTAATTTCAAAATTTCAAAACTCTGTGTTTGTCACAAGACGCGTTCAAGTAATTATTACTTTATGTCCCAAATATTATTAGTAAAGGCTAAAGAGAGAGACAATATTTTAACAAGCTTTCGGTAGTGCAAAATGGCTATTGTCAAATGTATAAGGAAGTAAAACACTAAAATAAAAGTGTTAATAATCATTTCTCCATTTAAAAAAATAAAATTTCTTCCTGAATTGAAAAGCTAATTCTGATGATTGAATTGAAGATTAGCATATTTTCGAAGACACGAGGTTTCCAGCTTAATACTTCATAATTTCAGGGAGATGCAAATGTGATAAGTAACGTGCATTTTTATTTTGATGATTTAACAAACTTCCTATGAGCACCAGATAGGGAACCGATACAAAGCCTCTCTATGCTTAGAACAACAAGTCAAATGTGTGGCATAAGTTTCAGTGAAATTAGTTAAGGGGACGGCAGAGGGAACAAATGGATATCAGTTCCTCCGATCACAGTACAAGTCAACTCTTTACAGCTGTTATAGTTGCTGCACTGCACACACAACGTCACTATTGAAGCATGTTGTGCACCGGACACTTGCTTGCATTATCCTAATGACCTCACTTATATATTACCAACATGAGGCAAGGGATTACATACACTTGCAAACCCTAAAACATATTTTATTCTCAAGCGTGAAGCCACCTTCCTTTACTCCAAGGTATTGAAGAACAAAGCAACAATAGAACGAAGGACCAAATCCCAACATTGAGTACATCGGGTGTCCTTAGTATTGTTGTATGTTTGTTAATGTTATTCACTTGTAACTCCTACTCAGCTTATTTAGAAGCATCTCGTAGGATGCCTTTGTAAACCATAAACTTTGTGTTTGTGTTTGACTAGAGTTGGTCAAAGTGGTTAGCTTTATAATAGAGTTGTTACAAAGAGGCTTGCAATATAGTTATTGGAAGTAGGTGAGGGATTAAGAGTTTAATTCCTAGGTTATAATAGGTTGTAATCTAAAGTTGCTCGGTTAGTGAAGTTGTAATTCTACAAGTGTAGGTCGTCGTTTTTAATCCCGTGAACTGAAAATTTTTCACGTAAAATATTGTTGTGCTATTTACTTACCGATATGTGTGTGTTCTGTGGAACTGATTGAAAACTAAGTTTTTTGTACAGTTTGATACTCTTGGTTTACATCAAATGTCCCCAAACTAATGTTTTTATATTTCTTTCGCTGCAGGAAAAAAAAAAAGATGAAAGAGAAATACTCTTATCAAAGAATGCTGCTGAAAGCCTTAAAATAGAATGATTTTTGGGTCTTCGAATTTGATTTAAATTTGACATTCTTTTGTAAATTTGAGTCTTCGAATTCTGCAAATTTGTAAAAATAAAAATAACTCTTACTCTCTATGTTTTAATTTATGTGAATCAATTTAATTGAACACGGAGTTTAAAAAAAGAGAAAGTTTTTTGAACTTGTGGTGTAAAATAAGGCATATATATTTTGTGTGATTATAAATTATAGCATAAAAATAAATTATTTCTAAATAAAAAAAAAATTAACACGAATTAAAAATAAAATAAGTTGACATACATCGAAACAGGAGTATTATTTAATTAATTGACCAACATTGCCCGTCGTAGCACTGGCAAAAGAAGGGGGGGAAAAATATCATTGGACCGGTGATTGACGGACCACTTGAAAATTTGGTAAACTTCTCTTTCAAAACTTTCTTATCTGAAAAATACCTCCAACTTTATAAAAGTACATTTAAGTGATCAAAGTCGTTTAATTTCCTCTCACTTTCTAAGCTTTTCCTGACAAAAGGATTCCCTAGAACGATGGGCTGCCCCATAACTCAAGCTAAAGTTGGTTTACTGCCCATTGAAATCTCTGGTCTAAGAGGGAGCCCACTCAATTGACTCGGACAATTAGACTTGTCATATGTAATTTTCCTTTTCTACAAAATTAATTACCAGATTAATTCAAGATAATTAAACTTCTTGCTTTTCATTCTCCACTTTCAATTGCATGGCTCCAAGTATTAGATCTCTGTTATACGCAACCAGAAAGAAAGGGAAAAAAGGAGAACCAGCAATAAATTATTGTACAGTACTAAGCAGAACCTGAAAAAACAGGTGCACAAACCATTCCTTTCTATTTCTTCTTTCCTTTCATACTCACTGCTTTTAAAAAAAAAAAAAAAAAGTTAAGGGCTCAATCCAACTCAACATTTTTCATACAGTATATATTTTTATGTACAAATTACTAAATTTCAGTCAGTATTAAATTCCGAACAATGATCCCAAATGTTCAATAGGTTCAATCAAGATTTTATAAGTCAAACTAATCAAATTAAATTCAAAGGTGACTTTTGCTGTAAGAAAAATAAATAAAGGGGAAGGGGAACAAGCTTCAAGCTTCTTTCTTGCCATTTCCATGCAAGTTCACGAGAAAAACTTTTCTTAAGGTGAAATATGCATGTTATCTGACCAATTTAGTATTGACAAGTATTTTTCTTTTTCCGTTTAATCTGTAACCTTGAATTCTTGATTAATATCAGGGAATTTGAGTAGACAGAAGGATAGAGTATCAGAAGAAAGCATGGATATTGGATACCAAAGGGTTGGGAATTACAGAAGATCTACAGACTCATTTTGGCTTCCACATTACATTAACAAGCCCTTTGCAAAATATTCTCTTATTTTCTTCGTCTTCTTCCTCGTACTAGGTTCATACCTGTGGACGACGGTGCTCGACACAACCTCAGCCGTAAGTTTAATTTCTTTAATTATATTCATGTGCTATTAATTGATTGAGTCTTTTAATTGTAAATGGAGAAAATTCCAACATTTTCAGCACTTAAATTGTACCCAAATGAGTTGATAGAACCCCAAGCAACCTGAAAATTCTAGTACTCCTAACTCAGTGGCGGAGCCACCTTATACCAAGAGGTGTTAATTGACATCCCTTTACCGAAAAAATACATTATGTAGCTAGGTAATTTTTTTTATTTATCTTAATATACTATATGTTGAATTCCCTTGGCTTTTTCTATGTTTTCAATTGTATATACTTAGACACCACTTGATCATGTCATACCCGGTGCACAAGGCATTTCGCGTTCACGCAGGTTCTGGGAAAGGGCCCCACCTCAAAAGGTGTGATATAGACAGTCTACTTTAGTGCAAGCATTAGTGGTTACTTCCACGGCTCGAACCCGTAACCTATAGGTCAAAATAGAGACAATTTTAACATTGTTCCAAAGCTCACACTTCATGTCATATGTCGTAAAGAATTTGTTGTAAAATAAAGTAGCCAAGAGATTATGTTTCCAACTCTTTTTTGGATCACATTCCCAATAGGGGCTAATTTTTATTTTTTTTTCTTTCGATATGTTCTAGGTAAACAAAGTATTGCAAAGTAGGACACGAGAAGTTCCACTCAATTGTTCATCTGGTAACCTCACAAGAACATGCCCAGTAAATTACTACCCACCAGATTACAAAATAATTCACAACAAACCTTCATCAGCCAATCATAAATGTCCACATTACTTCCATTGGATACACGAAGATTTAAAGCCGTGGAGGAAAACAGGAATAAAGAAAGAAATGGTCGAAAGGGCCAACAGGACTGCCAATTTCAGACTTGTAATTTTGAATGGAAGGGCTTATGTAGAAACATATGAGAAGGGGTTTCAAACTAGAGATGTTTTTACATTATGGGGCATTCTTCAGTTGTTACGAAGGTACCCTGGAAAAATTCCTGATCTAGATTTAATGTTCGATTGTGTCGATTGGCCAGTCATAAGATCAAGTGATTTTGCTGGAGATAATGCAATAGCTCCACCACCTTTGTTTCGATATTGTGGAGATAGTGAAACATTGGATATTGTTTTTCCTGATTGGTCTTTTTGGGGATGGTAAGGATTCATATTTTTACTCTTAACTTATATGCATCCTTTACATTTTGCATGCTATAATATATATATATATATATAAGTTGCTAGTTTGATCAATTTGGTAGGGCTGAAATCAATATAAAGCCATGGCAAGACTTGTTAAAGGATCTTGAAAAAGGGAATACGAAGCAGAAATGGCAGGATAGGGAACCATATGCTTACTGGAAAGGCAATCCAGAAGTCGCTGAGAAGAGAATGGAGCTCGTTAAGTGCAATGTCTCCGAAAATCAGGAGTGGAATGCTCGCATTTATGTCCAGGTGAGCTTCCAAGCTCTCCCCTGAAAATATTTACTCACACTCGATATTTACATCAAATATATGTAAACATGACATGTGTCCGTTAGATACACTTTTGCGTAAATTAATATAATTTGGTGTAAATAGTTCGTGTGAATAGTATTTACCCCTTTCGACATCAGAACTAAGGATGAACTCTTGTCTCCTGAAGGTTTCAAAATTTACCGACACATTTGCTGCTGTTTACAGGATTGGAAGAAAGAGATAAAGCAAGGATTCAAGAATTCTGACTTAGGAAACCAATGTCACCATAGGTAAATCCAATCAAACTTCACTGTCATTCATTTATAACACCAATCTGCCAATTGAAGGTTTTCCCCCTGTTTCCTCTCTCAAATTGCATTAGCTTATAATAATAATTGATTACTTTATTTTAATTCTTTATTTGTGTGACCCATGCTATATATAATGTTTTTACAAATGCATGCAGATACAAAATATACATTGAAGGATCTGCATGGTCTGTTAGTGAGAAATATATTCTTGCTTGTGACTCAGTTTCTTTGCTTGTAACACCCCACTACTATGATTTCTTCTCGAGAAGTTTGATGCCACAAGTCCATTATTGGCCCATAAATGAAAATGACAAGTGTGGATCAATTAAGTTTGCAGTTGATTGGGGCAATAGAAATAAGAAAAAGGTAACAACATTACCCTTACAACAACTAAATGGTAGTATCAATAATATAATCAATTAATTTTGTCCTGTTGACTTTTCTCAGGCACAAAAAATTGGTAGAACTGCAAGCAATTTTATTCAACAAGATTTGAAGATGGAGTATGTGTATGATTACATGTTTCATCTCTTAAATGAATATGCTAAGCTGCTTAGATATAAGCCCAGTGTGCCTGAAAAGGCAACTGAACTCTGCTCAGAAATAATGGCATGCCCAGCTGAAGGTATTGAGAAAAAGTTAATGATGGAATCAATGGTGAATGGACCTATTGATGAAAGTCCATGTAAAATGCCCATACCCTTTAATCAATTGTCTCTTGATTCTTTCATTAAAAGAAAAGAAAGTTCCATTGAACAAGTCCTTAAACTGGAGAAAGAGGAGCAAAAAGAAAAAACGTAGTTGTAATTCTTTAGGTAGTCAAGAAGATGGACAAGAAATTAGATTGGTGCTAAAACTGCTTGGTAGCAATAATGTATTAGGTAATTGTCATGTCAGTCCGAAAAATATTACCTATACCATCACGAGCAAGCAAACTAAGTTGCAATGTGAATTGAGTATGTACTATGTGGTAGATAGAGTAATTGATGATCACAGGTTTCAACTCAGCTGAACTTCTAATTTATTGATACTTGGACATGATTTTTCGTTCGTCGGCAGAAGTTTTTGTCAAAGTGAATATTGATATTTAAAACAGCGTATCTTCGTTGAAAATTGTCACTTGTTTGACAGTAAATGTGGAGTACTATTCATTACACAACAATTAGGAACATAATTGAAGTAGTATTTTGCAACCCGTATAAACCATAATACTATTTCAGTCCACGTATTTGTCATTTAAAATTTTTTGTACACCCCTTTGGAAGATATTTAATTGCGTTAGTCGTAAGAGTATTTGTCTTGGATGCGCTAGTAATTGACACATAGGAGAATGGTTGCCCGAGTTTTCAGGCCTAATATCCTGCAACTTGCATTGAGAATATCTACATTCAACGGTGCTTGGAGATACAGAATGTCAAAATCTTAGAGTAAGTTTAGTTTGAGAAAACTACTAATATTTGGTCTAGAGGATGTATTTAATTATTGATATCAATGAAAAACATACAACAGAATAGGCCCCAAAATAGTAAGTATACTACGGTATTTACGAAGTAGCTTAACGATTACATTTCAGTAAACTGCGGGCCGGGGAAATGTTCTCTATGGAATTCTTAAAACCCCAATTTTATATTGCTACAACAACACAAACCCAGCATATTCCCACCAGTGGGGTTTGGAAGGATAGTGCGTACGCAGACCTTACTCCTACCTAGTGGCTTAGAAAGAGTGAGAATAAGAAGAAGAAGGAGAAGAAGAGGAAGAAGAAAGAAAAAAAAAGGGTGGGGGTGGAAAGAGGAAAAATAGTAGTACTAAACACTAACAACAAGAAATACGATAGCAGAAGTGAACTAAATCACATGACAAAGTAACGATCTACTTAAGCATGTACAGAAACTTGAGTGCTACTAAAGAAACTGGTAAGAAAAGGAGAAACTAACAACTACCTACTACCCTTCTACCATAATCTTCGACCTATATACCTTCCTATCAAAGGCCATGTCCTAAGTAAGCTGAAGTCGCGCCATATCATGTCTAATCACATCTCCCAGATACTTCCATGGCCTACCTCGACCTCTTCTCAAACCCGCCATAGTCAGCCTCTCACACCTCCTGACATGAGCATCAATACTTCTCCTCTTTACGTGCCCGAACCGTCTCAGTGTCGACTCCCGCATCTTGTCATTCACGGAGGCCACTCCCACTTTGTCCCGAATTGCTTCATTCCTAATCTTATCTCTCCTGGTATACCCACTCATCCATCTCAACATCATTATTTCTGCTACTTTCATCTTCTGCGCGTGTGAGTTCTTAATTGGTCAACACTCCGTCCCATATAGCATAGTTGGTCGAACCACCACTTTGTAAAAATTACCTTTAAGTCTTGGCGGCACATTCTTATCACATCAAACGCAGGACGCAAGCCTCTATTTCATCCATCCCGCTCCAATACGATGTACTACATTCTCGTCAATCTTCCCATTGCCCTGGATAATAGACCCGAGATACTTGAAACTATCTTTCTTAGGGATAACTTGAGTATCAAGCTTCACATCCACGTGTGACTCATGAGTCCCGTCACTGAATTTACACTCTAAGTATTATGTCTTAGTCCTGCTCAACTTGAAACCTTTAGCCTTCAAGGTCAGCCTCCAAACCTCCAACCTTGCGTTGACCCCGCTTCACGGGTCGTCGATCAACACTATATCATCGGCAAATAGCATGCACCATGGCACTTCCCCCTGTATGTGCCGCGTCAGCACTTTCATCGTCAAGGAAAATAAAAACGGGCTAAGAGTCGATCCCTGGTGCAGCTTCATCACAATTGGAAAGTGTTCCGAGTCCCCTCCTACAGTCCTCGCCCGAGTCTTAGCACCATCGCACATATCCTTAATCACCCTAGTGTACGCTACCGGAACGGCGCTAACCTCCAGACACCTCCACAAAACTTCCCTCGGCACTTTATCGTACGCTTTTTCAAGGTCGATAAACACCATGTCAAGTCCTTTTTCCTCTCCCTATACTGCTCCACTAATCTCCTCACCAGATGAATAGCTTCCGTAGTCGAGCGCCCCGGCATGAATCCGAACTGGTTCTCGGAAATAGACACGTTCCTCCTCATCCTGACTTTTACCACCCTCTTCCAAATCTTCATAGTGTGGCTCAACAACTTTATACCCTATAATGCTGCAATTTTGGATATTACATTTGTTCTTATACAACGGAACCATCATACTCCACCTCCATTCCTCGGGCATCATGTTTATCTTAAAAATGAATTAAACAACCCAGTGAGCCACCCCAAACCTGCTCGACACGCGTTCATCTAAAACTCCACAGGGATTTCGTCTGGCCCCGTCACTCTGCCCCTACTCATCTTGCACATAGCAATTTTATATTGCTAAAAAAATTGCAATAACACAACATACGGAACTGTAACATATTTACTCCCTACGTTCACTTTTACTTGTCGACTATGGACTCTACATACCTTTAAGAAATAATAAATAAAGTACATAATTTAATTATCATGATACCCATGTTAATTGATGCATATTTTTAATGGATTTGAGAAAATAATTTGAACTGAGTAATTAATATTGTGAGTATAATAGGAAAAAAAAAAATGTTTCTCTTGTTAAATTAAAAGTGACAAATAAAATTAAAAATCTATTTTTAAAATATTGGATAAGTAAAAGTGAACTTGGATAATTAATGATAGAATTTATAATAGTACCGCATTTATAAACAGTAGGTAGGTTAGGCAAATGACAAGAGAGAAGAAAGCGTCAAACTCACTCTCCCCATGACTAATTCACATGTTAGTTGACCCCACGCACCTTATTCAAATGATTCAAGAAAAGCAACGATCGACTTCAAATATACGTCCCATTGACATTTTGCCACCTTTGCTAGATGTAATTGGTACCAGCTATTAGCAATTCCAGAAATTACTCCTCATTCTCATTTTTTGCTTCATAAATGACACTCATTCTCAAACACTACTATTTCACACCCCATTCTGCTTACTAATTATATACTGACAAATAAAGAACAAGTCTCTCCTGAATTAGCAGCATATTAGCTCAGAAAGAGCCCCAGCTGGCATCAGGATATTCTTGCCACCCCCACCTTCTACTTCACATTAATCCTCCATATTGTCCAACAATTTTAACTTTTTGCGCAGGTCCTCTTCGGGTCTATTTCCACTTCCACTTTCTTTTTTTTAAGGATTACCTGAATTTGCAGCATATTAGTGCAGAAAGAGCGCCAGACAAGAGAAAAATCTTGCTACTTCACATTATTCTCCCATATTGTCCATAAAATTTCCACTTTCCACTTTTTTCATCTGAGCTCACGCTTTAGGTGTTATATAGCGTCCTCTTCCCATTTAAAATTCCCTTGTAATTCAACCCAAATGTATATTTATTAAAACAGGAACTTCTTTTTTAAGTATCACCGACTAGTCACTATACCATTTAAGAAAAGTCAATACATTTCTCCATCTGCGGTCACTACTCTCTTTCAGCTGGGCCAATAGGGGTGGGGTTCGGTGCTATATTTGTACTTCACCTAGCTTATAACCAAATTCAAATGCATGCCGTTTTAGGTTGGTATACACTAAAGTCTTGTGATTTGCTTTCAAAAGGTAATGTTTGTGTTTTTGACAGTTAATACTGAAGAAAATTTTGGCAGCTATATATTTCCATATTTAGGTGGACAAGTGTATAGCGGTGCATGCAACAACTTGCATCTTTATGTTGACAAGTGTTAAGGGTTACTGCAGCTGAGCTAAGAGAGAAGGAAAGTTAGGGCTTTGTAGACATTTCACAGAAATTATCTGCTAGCTGTTCATTAATGGCGTCCAAGACAACGGTGAGATCTTCAGCAACGATCTTCATCTCTGTTCTCCTCTTCATCGGTGTTATCGTCTCTATGCGATTGCTGCACTCTTCCTTTGAAATTGTAAGTTTCATTATTTACTCTTAATTTGGAAAGTTATTGTCTCCTTATTTTTTGACATGGATCAGCTCTCTATAAATTCTTTTAACTATATTTAACCGTTCCCTCATTTATCTCCTTAACGAACCCCGACGGAAAAGAAATAAAAAAGACAATTCTCTTCTCTTTTTTGTTTTTTACTGTGTTAGCTTGATACTGCCAAAGAAATTACATTAATATTAGCTTGAGTAATATTTTGACTTAATAGTGTCAATGCCAATCATTACTATTAGGGAGTTAAGAGTTTTTCTTAATTATGATCTTATATATTTTACCTGTAATCAAATAGGAGTGTTCACTTAACACCAGCAAATAGCAATGAGATACTTTTGACCTTTATATTTCGAGCCCGACCCGAAAAGCGGCGGGACATTATTGAAGGTGCATAAAAACTGTTGGGCGAATAAGCGGCGGGACAGTCGGAAAATAAAAATAAAAATAAATTAGCGGCGGGACACATTCTTAATTTTACCAGATGCAATGGAATACCTATACATTAATTTATATATTATGTATTTACATTGATAAAAAAAAATCACATTATTACTACTTGTTATCTCTCGTTTACTTCTGATAGTGTCTGTTGTATTGACTTTAAAATTACATGAATGTCATTAAATAAAATTTCTATATTTTAGAGGTGGAATCCAAAATTTGTTTATTCGCTTACTTTATATTATTTTAGTATATTTCATTTTAATTTACTTTCTTAGGAACTGTACATTTGAGCTGAAAAAGTTTTGATATGTAATTCTGGATGTATTTTAATTTCTTTAATATTGGATAAAGTGATGTAATACAATTTCAATGGTATTATTTTGAAATTTTTTCCAAGTCAATGAATACATTAGTTGCACCAAAACAACCGCCAAATCAGGAAATGATTGGCAGAATAACAATGCAAGACTGGGATGGATAGTAAAGTAACTTTAGTTTTTAATTTAATTTTAACTTCTGGTGTCAAGTCATAGTATTTCTGGTAATTCATGCTAGACCGGAACAGGATTAAATCAGATTTACTTATTATGCTACATTAGGAAACTGCTATAGTAACGAAAACTGGGGATTATGTGCCAATGTGAAACAACTTCACCTACTCTTGATCATCTTGTTCTTTCACCATTGTGATTATAGGTACACCCTTTGTCGTATAAAGCACCAACGACCATGTATGTATGTCGAAGACACCGTCTATCAATACCGTTCAGTATTCATATCTTCTTGTTGTCTGCAGTATGAACCAATTCATCTTCTTCTTGAATGGAAAACCCGTTGTCAAACTTGATTAATGCCCTAAACTAAATCATTGCGTTTTTGTGATCTTCTAATCGTTGCAAATTATTAGGCTAATTGGTTTTGTTCTTCCAAATTTATAGACCATTGCAGGATATTCTCCACGAAAGTCAATATTAACCCCCATAACACGCCACAATCACACTGATACAATCCCAGCTAACTCAAAAGAGCCCCATAAGAAACTGGAACTCGTAACATTTCACAATCACACTGATGCAACACCAGCAGTCTCAAAGCCGCCCCAAAAGAAACTGGAAGTCCAACTAAATTGTACACTTGGAAACCTCACAAGGAGTTGCCCAGCTTCTTACTACCCGTCAAAATTCACGGATCAAAACCAAGCCACTTCATCAGCTCCTCCGCCTACATGTCCAGATTACTTCCGCTGGATCTATGATGACCTATGGCCTTGGAGAGAAACAGGAATCACCGAAGAAATGGTGATGCGAGCCAGAAGGACGGCAAATTTTCGGTTGGTGATAGTGAAAGGAAGAGCATATGTTGAGACATATCGGAAGTCATTTCAAAGCAGGGACCAATTCACATTGTGGGGTATTTTACAAATGTTACGTAGGTACCCTGGTCAAGTTCCTGATTTGGACCTGATGTTCGACTGTGTTGACTGGCCAGTCATTAGTACTGAATTCTACCGACGCCCTAATGCCCCTGCTCCTCCACCTCTGTTCCGATACTGTGGTAACAATACCAGTTTGGATATTGTTTTTCCAGATTGGTCATTCTGGGGATGGTACAAACTCTTTACTTTTTTGCATCCATATTGATATAATAATCTTAACAGTTTTAGTGAAACTTTCTTTTGTTTCAAAAACATTGTGTAGGCCAGAGATTAATATAAAGCCTTGGGAAATTTTATCGAAGGATTTAAGAAAAGGCAATGAGAAGGTGAAATGGACCGACAGAGAACGATATGCCTATTGGAAGGGCAATCCTGTTGTTGCTGAAACCAGGATGGATCTGCTCAAGTGCAATGTTTCAGAAAAGCAGGACTGGAATGCACGAGTATACGCTCAGGTATAAAGTTGTGCAACATTGTAATCATATTCTTGTGTCAAGAAATACAGCTTTTCAAGACCCCGTTACCCTATATTCTACCACTATCAAAAAGAAAGAGGGTAAAAGGAAACTCTCTTCTTCCCCATTCCCACCTCCCTCCAAAAAATAGTGAATTGAAGTGTTACGATTGCAGGCTTATAAAAGTATCTTTGAGGTACTTCTCCATATTAATATAATTGGCGCGATGAATGTATGTGGAACATGTTTGTCATCTTCACTGCAGTTCCGGGATTTGGGCCTATCAGATTCCCTGCTCTTGTGACGCTAATTACAGTGATGAATCTGGAAATGTATATATTAAAGGTAGAATGTAAAAGAAATTTTAGTGATGAATCTGGAAACATATGTAGGACTGGATTCAAGAACAGAAGCAAGGTTACAAGCAATCAGACTTAGCTAGTCAGTGCATATACAGGTACGCAAACAAATTGCTTTTCTTACTATTATGGCTTTGTTTACCGTCAAATGTCCGGTGTTTGTTATTTATATCGTCCTAAATGTTGTCTTATTTTTCTCTTTTCTGCCCCATGCAATATGTCAGATACAAGATTTATATAGAAGGATCTGCGTGGTCTGTGAGTGAAAAATACATTCTGGCCTGTGATTCTGTTACATTACTTGTAGAACCCCACTACTACGATTTCTACACCAGAGGTTTGATGCCACTGAAACATTACTGGCCCGTAAAAGACACTGACAAATGCCGATCTATCAAGCATGCTGTTGACTGGGGCAATACTCATCAACAAGAGGTAATCTATCATCTGACCCCAGCTCTATTTTCAAGTTTGACTGCCAATTCACCTGAAAATTTCGATGTTACAAAATCACGTCTTCATCATCTTATTAGTGTTCTTCTCTAAATTAGCCAATAAAATGATTGATGCATTAGACCGTTTTAATGTTGTCTGTATTCTCGACACCCAAATTTTGTTTGAAGAACGAGGAAAGTACGTGTAGCTTAAGTTTTCTCAGGTTCAGTTAAAAACGAAATGACCATACTTTTAGATATCAGTAATACATCAAATTTTGTGTTTATTGAACAATTTTCATAGGAGGATACAAGGGGTCTAGCTGAGCAATCAAATGTTCAAGCAGCGTATTGACAACACCTATAGATTTATTTCTACCGCAAATTCTCATATTTATTCTCTTAATAGAATATCAAGCTGAATCAGTGTTAATTTTCTAGCAACAATGTCTTATCATGTTTAACGATGACTTTGTTGATAAAATAGGCACAGGCCATTGGTAAGGCAGCAAGCAATTTCATTCAAGAACAACTCAACATGGATTATGTGTATGACTACATGTTCCATCTATTGAGCGAGTACGCAAAGCTCTTGAAATACAAGCCCGTTATACCACTAAAAGCAGTTGAGCTTTGTTCAGAGGCAATGGCATGCGCAGCTGAAGGAGTGACAAAGAAGTTCATGTTAGAATCTCTCGTTGAAGGTCCCTCGGACGCGATACCTTGCACCATGCCACCCCCCTTTGGTCCTGCAGGTCTTCACTCTATTCTTGATAGAAAAGAAAATTCAATAAAACAAGTTGAATCGTGGGAACAACAATACTGGAAGAAAGAAAGCAAACAACAGTGAAGAGTTTACGTTTTCTTACTCATAGCTTACACGTACAAGTGGGGTATATTTTGTTAATAAGAGTTTTTTGTATTAATCATCCAACACTGTGAAGGAGCACGAACATTAAATCTTGGTGTTGAGACAACATACATGTAGGAGTAAAATTCTCAGCTACAGCCTTTTCTTTTTTTAGATACTAGTTTCAATCTCATATCAATGAGTACCAAAATTTTGATGTTACATAAAATGTTATCAAAAATATATTTCAATTGTAAAATTGAAGTCGTTAAATGAAAAGTGAAATTTTTTACAGTTAATGAATATTAATCGTATTTTGCTAACTCAATTAAAAAAAAATTGATGACCGACAAATTCCCTTAAATTCTTATAGTGTATGAGTTATATATTTTGTTTAGAAGCCAATAGCACTGTTGATTTATCTTGACATTGTTCACAATAATTCTTCACTCCAAATATATGACCTATATACTTCTTTGAGAAAATAATTGGAAAAGGCAAAGATTGAAGTATATGTATGTATGGGGTCGAATTTGACCAACCACGTTCTTCAAGCCAGCACGACCAACCGAGTGTGCGTAAGTCCAGATAGAAGGGCGACCTATGAGCAACAAGAGGGACGACTTCACGATCACGTCGGCCACTCCATAACATGTACTTTATTTTCTGCCTTTTAATATTCGAGCAAGGATCCTCTATTATATAAAGAGGATCCAAGCCTTGTAAAAGGGGAGGATTTTTGGACTACTGGAAATACAATCTCTCTCTTTTTTCTCTCTCTAACATTATCAGAGTTTATCATTTTTCTCTCATTAACCTTGTTTACACTATTGTCATCTGATTCTTTATTCAAGAACATCCTAGGGTTTATTATCTTCAACTACGATTTACCCCTTCATCTACATTGATTGATTTTTTTAGAAAGTATTAACTTACTTTTGGGTCAAACAATTTGGCGTCGTCTGTGGGGATTTCGGTAGTCGAAATCATAGTTCACATCTAGGATATCAGAAACAACCATCGTTGTTCTTCAGATCTCATAGAAACTAACGAATGGCAGACAAAGAGTCAAGGTTGAAGATGATAGCAGACGTCTCAACCAACCTCATAGGCCCACTCAACGAAGCCGGTAGAGAGAATACCGCGAATATAACACCAAGTAACATACCGGAGGGGGAGATCTCACCCTCCTCACTCGAAGATCTAATGATTTTGCATGAAAGAGGGACTTCTACATCTGCAGCAAAGGAAACACCCCCAGTAGTCAAAAAGCTACTAGAGGAATGGTTGACGAACACTCTAAGTAGCATGCTCGAGAAACCACCTCAGGGAAATGTCAAAGATCCATCGATGGCAGAAATCGCCGCCACCATCGGAGAGCCCAGCGTTGCACGAACAGGTAACGCCCACACTGATTCCAATACAAGCAACGATGCGCTCACAGCCATCCTTAAGAAAATGGAGGAGATGGAGAACGAGAATAAAGCACTTCGTGATCAAATGAAGGAGCACCAGGAGAGGGTAGACAAGATACCTGGCGCCCCTAAGCTACTGCCGAAACGCGATATGGGAAGATTCGTCGAGCAACCATATAATGAGGAAGTTGCTCCTCACCCAATCCCTAAAACCTTCAAGATGCCACCATACTTGAAAATATATGACGGGACCACGGATCCAGAAGATCACCTGATTCATTACGTGACCGCCGTAAAAGGCAATGACCTATCGAAAGAACATGTGCCATCTATGTTGCTGAAAAAGTTTGGGGAGACTTTGACGGGAGGAGCACTCACATGGTACTCTCAGTTACCGGCCAGAACGATATCGACGTTCGAAGAGATGGCGGACAAGTTCGCCACCGCCCACGCAGGAGGAAAGAAAGCCGAAGCTAGGGTCAACGATATCTTCGCCATCAGGCAAATAACGGGCGAAGGACTCAGGGACTTCCTGGCGCGATTCAACAGGGTAAGAATTGGGACTGCCAAACGTATCAGAAGGAATGGTGTTGGCAGCTTTCCAAAACGGGCTGTACAGAGACGGATCCAAAGCGACCAAAAAGCTGCTCAATCGGCTCATGAAGTATCCCCCCACCACGTGGGAAGAGATTCACAATGCCTACTGCGCCGAAGTCAGAGCAGATGAAGACGACCTTAACGGCCCAACCCAACGACTAACATCCGTACAATCAGAACTAAGGAGGGACCGACACAACAACGGGCGACGGGAACCACTCCCACGCTTCAATAGAGAAAGGCACCAGCCCTACGTCAGAACTCCTAACCCGCCTCCTCCAAGACATCTAGATGTCGTGCAGCGACATGCCGCCCCGCTTCGAAATGAAAGAGGTATGCCCCCATTATTATCCACTCATAACTTTTGTGTCTCCCCTTCAAAAATAGTGTACGCACTAGAAAAGCTGGGCACGAAGGTGTGGTGGCCACAAAAAATGAAATCAGACCCTAGTGCAAGAAGGTCGAACGTCCTATGCGAATTCCATCAGGAAAGAGGACACAAAACCGAAGATTGCATAGGTCTACGGCAGGAGGTGGTCAGAATGCTGAACCAGGGATACCTGAAGGAGCTACTCAGCGATAAAGGACAGACTAATTTCTCCAGAGGACGCGACCAATCCCAAGGACCACCAAAACCACCTTCTCCAGCGCGCACCATACAGATGATCGTCGGCGGCGGCGACAACTCGGCAATCAACCATGTAAAGTTCACCACCACACACAAGTTGAAACGCACGATCGCTCACGAACGGTATGATGACTTCGAAGATGGTATCACCTTCCATAAGTCTGATGCCGACAGTTTGTCTTTCCCTCATTATGATGCTTTAGTTATAACTTTACGCATTGCTAATACCGATGTGAAAAGAATCATGGTAGACGACGGAAGCGGCGCGTGTATTATCCACCCAAGAGTCCTCATGCAAATGAGGCTCGAAGATAAGATAATACCGCGTTGCATAACACTAACGGGTTTTAACAATGCAGTAGAGCGAACCTCCGGAGAGATATCACTGCCAGTCCTGGCGGGGGGAGTCACGCTGGAAACCACGTTCCACATCATGAACCAGGAAACGACCTACAACGTCATCATGGACGTCCATGGATACACGCCATGCGGGCCATCCCCTCGAGCCTCTATCAAGTAATCAAATTTCCCACCCATGGGGAATATTCAGCATTTGAGGTGAGCCACATACCGCCCAAGAATGTTATTGAATTGCCCTAAGACTGCACACATACCAAACAGCTGAAGGGAGCAAGCGCGGAAGCATAGCAATTAGCCATGTCGGGAACCAAAATCAACCCGACGACAGAGGTTATTAGGGACCCAGATGTCGTAGAAGCCTGCAAGGCGACAGTCGAGAACCTCGACCCTGTCCAACTGGACGGTACCGACAGTTCAAAGAAAGCCTACATCGGACACAACCTCTCCGACCCAGGTAAGTACCACGAATTCTTAACTAACCATGCAGATTTATTTGCCTTCTCTCATTCAGATATGCCGGGGATCCCGAAAGACATCACCACTCACAAGCTGAACGTCGACCCACTTTATCCGCCCGTAAAGCAGGTAAAAAGGAAATTCAACACCGCAATCAACGAGGCGGTCAGTGAAGAGGTAGATAAACTACTAGCCAACGGTTCCATCAGGGAATCAAAGTACCCCCAATGGGTCGCCAACGTGGTCATGGTTAAAAAGAAAAATGGGAAATGGAGAATGTGCGTAGACTTCACCGACCTGAACAAGGCATGCCCAAAAGACTCCTTCCCGTTGCCCCGTATCGACCAGCTGATCGATGCAACAGCGGGGCACGAGCTGCTAAGTTTCTTGGACGCCTACTCTGGCTATAACCAAATCTTAATGGCCGAAGAGGACCAAGAAAAGACAACTTTCATCACCCATCAAGGGACGTACTGCTACAAGGTGATGCCCTTCGGACTGAAAAATGCGGGTGCAACGTACCAAAGGTTGGTCACCAAGATGTTCAAGGAACAGCTCGGTAAGACAATGGAGGTCTATATCGACGACATGTTAGTAAAGTCGGTTAAGAAGGAAGACCATATCGACCATTTAAAGCAAGCCTTCGAGATACTGAGGCAGTATGGGATGAAGTTGAACCCAGAAAAATGCGCCTTCGGCGTAGCCTCGGGGAAATTTCTAGGCTTTCTCGTATCGCAACGAGGCATCGAAGTCAACCCAGACCAGATTAAGTCTATAGACACAATACCCGAGGTTCTGCACAGCAAGAAACAGGTGTAGAAACTAACCGGGCGAATAGCCGCCTTATCGAGGTTTATCTCATGGTTCTCGGACAGATGCCACAAATTCTTCAGTGTGCTGAAGAAAGATTATGGACTACAATGGAACGAAGAATGCATCGAGGCACTGAAGAAATTGAAAGCATATCTATCTTCGCCACCACTGCTCGTCAAAGCAGACCCCGGCGAGTGCCTACTTGTGTATCTAGCAGTGTCCGAAGTCGCTGTCAGCGCCGTCTTGGTCCGCGAAAACAAAGGTACGCAATCCCCTATTTATTATATCAATAAAACATTAGTAGATGCCGAAACGAGGTACCCCCACCTCGAAAAACTGGCTCTGGCACTGGTCGTAGCTTCACGAAAGCTCAGACCTTATTTTCAATGCCATCCCATAAAGGTAATAACAACCTTCCCCCTAAGAGGCATCCTACACAAACCCGAGCTCTCGGGTAGGCTCGCCAAATGGGCCATAGAGCTCAGCGAGCATGACATAACCTACCACCCAAGAACCGCCATCAAGTCACAGGTACTCGCCGACTTTGTCGCCGATTTCAGTGCAGGGATACTGCCAGAGGTGGAACAAGAGGCCCTCCGCGCCTCTGCTCGCACTGACCTCTGGACCCTCTACACTGACGGCGCTGCGAATGCCTCGGGATCGGGACTGGGACTCGTCCTCGAGGTCCCCACGGGCGAAGTAATTCGCTAGTCCATACGATGCCCCGAGATGACTAAGAACGAGGTCTAGTATGAGGCTGTGATTGCAGGCATGAAATTATCCATTAAATACGGGGCCCGTCGACTCATCCTCCACTGCGACTCTCAACTAGTCGTAAATCAAGTCACCGGGACTTACCAAATCAAAGAGCAACGGCTACAAAAATATCAGTCAGAGATCCGCAAGC